TCTCTCTCTCTCTCTCTGTCCCTTTCATTCTTTTTTTTTTTTTTCTACCTCTGTCTGTCTCTCACTTCCTTTCTCTCTTTCTTTCTATTTCTCTATCTCCCTCTGTCCCTTTTTCTCTTTCTATCTATCTATCTATCTATCTATCTATCTATCTATCTATCTATCTATCTATCCCTTTCTCTCTTTCTTTTTATCTCTCTAACTCTCTCTGTCCCTATCTCTCTTTCTTGTAATCTCTCTCTCTCTCTCTGTCCCTTTCATTCTTTTTTTCTACCTCTGTCTGTCTCTCACTTCCTTTCTCTCTTTCTTTCTATTTCTCTATCTCCCTCTGTCCCTTTTTCTCTTTCTATCTATCTATCTATCTATCTATCTATCTATCCCTTTCTCTCTTTCTTTTTATCTCTCTAACTCTCTCTGTCCCTATCTCTCTTTCTTGTAATCTCTCTCTCTCTCTCTCTCTGTCCCTTTCATTCTTTTTTTCTACCTCTGTCTGTCTCTCACTTCCTTTCTCTCTTTCTTTCTATTTCTCTATCTCTCTCTGTCCCTTTTTCTCTTTCTATCTATCTATCTATCTATCTATCTATCTATCTATCTATCTATCTATCTATCCCTTTCTCTTTTCTTTTTTATCTCTAACTCTCTCTGTCCCTATCTCTCTTTCTTGTAATCTCTCTCTCTCTCTCTGTCCCTTTTTCTTTTTTTCTACCTCTGTCTGTCTCTCACTTCCTTTCTCTCTTTCTTTCTATTTCTCTATCTCCCTCTGTCCCTTTTTCTCTATCTATCTATCTATCTATCTATCTATCATCTATCATCCTTTCTCTCTTTCTTTTTATCTCTCTAACTCTCTCTGTCCCTATCTCTCTTTCTTGTAATCTCTCTCTCTCTCTCTGTCCCTTTCATTCTTTTTTTCTACCTCTGTCTGTCTCTCACTTCCTTTCTCTCTTTCTTTCTATTTCTCTATTTCCCTCTGTCCCTTTTTCTCTTTCTATCTATCTATCTATCTATCTATCTATCTATCTATCTATCCCTTTCTCTCTTTCTTTCTCTCTATCTCTTTCTCTCTTTCTTTCTATTTCTCTAACTCTCTCTGTCCATTTCTCTCTTTCTTTTCTATCTCTCCAGCTCTCTGATTTCCAAATCTGAGTCGTTAGCTATTACACCGTTCGCACACCCAAGGTTACAGCATGTGATATTCCCAAGCAGACACTCGTCAAGATACTGGCCAGGATCGACGTTGCTTAACGTCGATGATCGTTCGAAAGCCGGCGTTTCAAGGTGATATGACCGCAAGCCATAACCACTGCACATCCAAGCTTGCAGCATCTGGCATTCCCAAGTGGTAACCCATCTAGCTATTGGCCAGATTCAGCGTTGCTTAACGTCAGTGATCGTACGAGTACATGTGTTTTAACATAATATGGCCTCTAGCCTTCATACATATAGATAAAGATAGTCACTTCTTTTACAGTTCTATGTTCTTTGAATTCTCGTTTGCACGTGATTGTAAACGAGAATGGATTAAAATAACTGCAGTATCGGAAATGTCGAACAATGATCGTGAATAGCGAACGTTAAATGTAGAAATTCTTCATGTTTATTGACGAAGCATTACCAGTCATCGAAACTGGGTCAAATCGATGTGAATGTAAAAAAAACAAACAAGAAAAACCCAGAAGCATTCAACTTATTATGCAAATCAATTTATAAAAATGATTACTTAGCATAAATGTTCCGCGTTCGATATAAAAACATATCAAAGAAACTGAAGAGCGTTATAAGAAAAATGAACGAAAGACGAAATGAAACGAAAGCATGGCCAAAAATAAATAAAAAAAGAAGAACAATAAACAAAAAATTAATATTTTTCTATACCTCTGAGATGAGGTATTATGATTACTTGAATTATTTACAGTATTCGTACTGTTATCCTCATTTTCATTGCCATATTCACAACGTTTCAGCCGTTGTACGCTCCGGCCTTCTTCAAGACCTGTGTATATCTCTGAGATGAAGTATTATGAATACTTACTTTACGTTATTCGGACTGTTATCCTCATCCTTATTGTCATATTCACAACGTTTCGGCCGTTGTACGCCCCGGCCTTATTCAGGATCTGTCTATATCTCTGAGATGTAGTATTATGATCACTTACATTATTTACACTATTCGTAATGTTATCCTCATTTTCATTGTCATATTCACAACGTTTCGGCCGTTGTACGCTCCGGCCTTCGTCGGGATTTCTCTATATCTCTGAGATGAGGTATTATGATTACTTACATTACGTTAGTCGGACTGTTATCCTCATCTTCATTGCCATATTCACAACGTTTCGGCCGTTGTACACTCCGGCCTTCGTCAGGATCTGTCTATATCTCTAAGATGGGTATTATGATTACTTACATTATTTACACTATTCGGACTGTTATCCTCATCTTCATTAACATATTCTCAGCGTTCCAGCCGTTGAACGCTCCGGCCTTTGTCAGGATCTGTCTATATCTCTGAGATGAGGTATTATAATTACTTACATTATTTACATTATTCGTACTGTTATCCTCATTTTCATTGCCGTATTGACAACGTTTCGGCTGTTGTACGCTCCGGCCTTTGTCAGGATCTTCTATATCTCTGAGATGAGGTATTATGATTATTTACATTATTTACACTATTCGTACTGTTATCCTCATTTTCATTGCCATATTCACAAGAAAGAAAGAAAGAAAAGAAAAGAAAGAAAGAAAGAAAGAAAGGGAGGAAGAAAGAAAGAAAGAAAAGAAAGAAACAAACAAGCAAAGAACCAAAGAAAGAAAAGTAAAAACAAAACAAAATAAAACGAGAAAGAAAATAGAAAGAAAAAAATCTGTAAAAAAAAAGAATGAATGAAAGAAAAACCCTTAGAAAGAATGTGAAAAAAAAGAAAAAGAAAAGCGGGAAACTTAAGAAAGAAAGAAAGAAAGAAAGAAAGAAAGAACAGTAAAAATATTACCCCAGTAATGATGAAAATAAAAGAAAAAAAACTGAGAAAGAATGTAAAAAAAAAAGTAAAAACTAGTAAAAAAAGAAAGCGAAAAAAAAACGAGAAAAAAAGGAAAAGAAAAAAACACTGAGTAATGATAAAAAAAAGAGCAAAAAATCGAAAAATCCGGGGAAAAAAAATAAGAAAGAAAAAGCTCAATAATAAAAGTAACAAAAAAAAAAAAAGAATATTACATTGTATCTGTTAAGTTGGTCGCATAAAAAATTTAGACAGATTTACTTACGTGAAACAGTGGTTGGCGAGCGAATTAGCATACAATTTAATATTGAGAATCTACGATATTTTTTCAAAGGAGATAAAACTCACTACCGACCGATATCTTTAATAAAACACAAGAAATAATAATACTTAACTGATTCTTAGATATACTTGCATTAAAAGACAACAATTGGTCGTCTAATTTTAAATCTCTTCATATAATTTGTATTTATCCAGAAGAAATCTTTTATTATAACTATAATTCCAGTCCAACTTATTCAGCGTAGAATCTTTTCTCCTGAATAAGTCGCCAAATATCTTTGCCCAGTGTGAAACCAACTTGAATTCTTCCATTGCTGACAATGAATTCTTTGTTCCAGTATCTTCCCCCTTGACGAAAAGATTCCAGCATTCACATGCTCGGCCTTGGTGTTTACATCCGGGATAATCTTCCGATGGCCAGGGAATTGTTTCACAAGGCCGCTGACTAGGCATTCATGTACTTCTGACTTTCGCTATTAAACTCTGTCAGCTCTCTCTCTCTCTCTCTCTCTCTCTCTCTCTCTCTCTCTCTCTTTTATTTCTTTTATCCTCTCCTCTTCCCAAGACTGCAGTATATTAGACATAATAGCTGACAGTATAGAAAAGGCACTTTCTCTTCATTCATCCTCTAGAATCATTGTCTTCGGTGACTTTAATGCTCGCCAAGACACGTTCCTGCGGTATCTTATTCTCTCAGCAAAAAGGGACATAGTTCCTTCCAGAACTCGCTTACATTTATTACGTGCAGTAGTAAATAAGCAACTATTATGACGAGAGCTGTTATGCCGGTATAACCGGAAATAGATGTTCCTGTGTGCTATGGCAACCGACCATGGTACTGATGTTGCCGGTTTACAGACATTAATTTTTTTCCTTTGCTCAATCCCTCTCTCAAATCGTGAGCTTACCGACTCGTTGCCTTAACCAAACCAAACAACGTGCTTCTGTATTGGATCGATTTCATACCTCCTCTCCCCGCTCTTGCCAAGCTTCAAAATACTGCCCTCTAGGTAACTCGGACCACTCGATGGTAGCTACTGATATCTCCTTCCAAGCATCCATTAAACACGACCCCCCCCCACATCCATAAGACCTCTTTCCGGTACCAGCAGACTAGTTGAAACTCATTCCGGGATTTGATGCAGTGATTCCCATGCAGGGACATCTTCAAACTTCCAACTGAAAATTGCGCCACTGAGTTTTCTTCTTGGGTCAAAACCGGCATAAGAGCTTTCATCCTTTCTCGGAAATACCAGGTGAAACCGCAATCCTTTCCATGGTTCACATCACCATGGTCGGTTGCCATAGCACACAGGAACATCTATTTCCGGTTATACCGGCGTAACAGCTCTCGTCAATAATAGTTGCTTATTTACTACTGCACGTAATAAATGTAAACGAGTTCTAGAAGGAACTATGTCCCTTTTTGCTGAGAGAATAAGACACCGCATAGCCTCTAAAAACTTTGTGGCTACTGGTGTCTCTCGTGACTACTGAGACCTTACACTTATTTAATACACTATCACTAGTGTACTAAATAAGTACAAAGTCTCTATACCCGCCTCTTCAATCGATTTGAGGTGTTATCATCCGCTGCTGATAAAGCTGAATGCTTTGCCCGTAAATTCTTCACAAACTCTACTCTTGACTCATGAGTATTCCTGCTTAACTTCCCACTTAGGATTGATTCTCTGATGAGTGATATATATATATATATAT